GTTTTTTTTTTTTTTTTTTTTTTTTTAATCGGAGTTGAGCAGTGGGCACTGTGCTGTGCCACTACCTGGCTGCTTTGGGTGTGGGTGCCGCCCACCACCACCCACACCAAATGGCCTGGGGGTAATCACAGGAGGAGGATTTGGGTGCTGCCTTCCCTACTCCCAGCTCTGGCTGGGAACCTAACAGCGCATCTTGCTTTCCCAGTTGCATCTGATGCTTTAGAGGTCACCTTGCTGAGCAAAAACTTGCCTCCCAGGCTGGTTTTTGTAGTTTTTGTAATTATCAAGGAAAAAAAATACCCCAAGGATTCCCCACCTGTGTGGTCCCAATGATGCTCGCTGTTCAGGGATCCCAGGCCCCTTGGGTCCCCCACTTTGGGGTATGGTAGCACAGGGGGGAGACAGTGAGATCCAGGGCAGGTAAAGCCAGTATTACATATACTCAGTACTTCTATTTAAAGAGGTTAAATACTTGTTATTCTTACATGAGCCATTGCCAGCTCTTGGGCTGCTCCCCGTGTGCCTGACCACTTGAGCATTTTGTGTCTCCCTTACGCTTTGCTGCTTAGTGAGGCAGGATTTGTGTTTTAAGGTTGTAGTCACCTAAATCCCAGAGAGGATGTGCAATCCGCCAAGTGCATTAATAATTCCTTTTCTTCTCACCTGTGCTGGGGACCTGTATGCATACTTAAGCAGAAAAAATCACTTTGGGATAAACAGTCTCAACACATCTTTCAGTAGAAATGCATTTTAATCTATTCCTATAAAAATAACACTTCCGAAGCTTTAGCATGGAAATCGGGCTTCATTTGGATTTTTTTCATCTGCATAAAGAAGCTTAATGATAAACTGAAACCTATTTTCATTTTTATCATCATTGTGCAGGACCCAGAGCATTTTACTCCAATGACAACAGAAAGTACCTTTCCCGAGGTCTATAACCAGCCAGGCGTAGCGGGTGGGGGTGGCTGCCTTCTGGGGGGGGCTTTGGGCTCAGTAGGTGCTGCAGTTGCCCAGTTATTGCCCTTATACACAAAGTTAGTTAGAAATATGTGTGTTCTTTGCTCATTTTTTTTATTTCAGTAGCATTAGCTGTGTTATGCATTTCTGATCCGTGAAAACTTGTTTTTTCCAGAGCCTGGGCTATTCTGCAGGAAATCAAGAATTTGAGTTTAAATACACAGTAAACACACATCTTTAAAGCTAACTTTGTACTCAAAGAAATGTGATGTGTATATAAAAAAACCCCAAACAAACCAACCCCCA